CGCTGGAGACTTGATAATAAACTGGAGACTTGATGGCCAAGACACTGAGAGAAACTCCCTACCCTTTTCAAATAGTGCTATGGGATCTTTAATGTCCACCTGAACAGGCAGACAGGATCTCTGTTTAACATTACATCCAAAGGACAGCACCTCTGAGAATCTAGTGCTCCTCCTGAAACTGCAGTAGTGTCAGCCAATAATTGTCATGGAAATGAAGAAAAAAAGTTTGAAAAATATTAGAATACAACAATCCATAACATTGAAATACAAGCTTTCTTTTTTTAAAAAAAAGAAAAAACATTAAGTTTTCATTGATTAAAAATAAACTGTAATTGTAGAATATTAATGTGGAGGATTTGTAGGGCTAGGTCTCTGTCTCCCTCTAATGGTCACTTACATGACAGCAAGACATTATACTCATTACTTTGGGAATCATTTGTGGGAGAGGGATGATTGTTTTTTAAAAAAAGTTCACAAGTTTAAAAAACCAAGAACATATTGTGCATAATGGATTAAAAGTAAAAAATGAAACAGCACCCACTGCAGGTTACAAATTAGTAATTCAAGCAAATAATGATAATAAAGAATTCAAAGATAAATTATTACCTACAAACAAATAATCGTTACACTACAGGAAATGAGAAGCTGCAAAACAATTTGAGACCTTCTCCTGGTTTGAACATTACTGTATCATTTGATAAGGATAATTATTATTAATTATTATTGTAAGTCCACTAAATTTATAGAACAGTAAGACTAAGTTTCTGCCTTTACAACTCACTGTTCAACATTACATTTTTTTAAATGTTTTATAGGGATTTTTGCATAATGTTTTAACTAAAGGAGCCATTGTACATAATTCCAGATCCTGCTGTGGTTGAAAACATAAGGAGGAAGCAGTGCCTCTCTTATGAACTTGTTATGATCATATCGTGGAGTCCTGTTAGTGGTTAGAGAAGTCGCCTTGCAAGTGAAATACCTGGGTTGAATTCCAGTCAGGGCGAAACCTTAGGCAAGTTTCTTTACTCCACACACCTAATAATAATCCCTCCAAAACAAAACAATAATAAATTGGTCATTCTCAATCCACAACTGTTTGTGGGACACTGCTCTGCGCAATTGGCTGCCGCGTTTCTCCCACAAATATACGGTCAATTCACTTTACAGCATATTCTGTACAAATGCAAGGATTATTATTATTATGAGATAAACCATAATTGCGGGCAGGTAATTGCCAAACCCGTTTTTAAAACCTGCCAACAGTAGGAACAGGAGTAGGCCATGCAGCCCTTCAATCCTGTTCCTTCATTCTGTTCGATCATGACTAATCAGTACCTCAACTCCATTTACCTGCTTTTGCTCCAATTCCCTTGATACCCTTACCTAAGAAAAGTCTATCCCCCTCAGGCTTGAAAATTTGAATTGATCCAGAATCCATAGCCTCTTGGAGAAGAGAGTTGCAGATTTCCACTAAATTTTGTATAAAAAAGTGCTTTCTGATTTGACGCTTAAATGGCCTAAGCTCTAATTTGAAGATATTGTCCCCTTGTTCTGGATTCCCCCACCAGAGGAAATAGAAGAAAAGGAGAAGGTAGAAGAAATGTCATGGAGATCCACAGCTCTGAGGGGATGGGAAAGAATGAGATGTTATTGATTAACAGTTATTGATTAAAAGTTATAGATAACTTTCTCCAGCTCAACGTACGCAAAACTGAGGCCCTCCTGATTGGTACGCGTGAGCGCCTCCGCACCTCAGGCGCTGACAGCATCAGCATCCAAGGCTGCACTCTCCACCTCTCAAAGCCAACCAGGAACCTCGGGGTTCTGTTCGACCCTGAGCTGTCCTTTCTCCCTCATATCCGCACCACAACTGGCACCGCCTTCCATCACCTCCGGAACATCGCCAGACTACGGCACTACCTCACCCCTCACGCTGCTGAAACACTGGTCCACGCCTGTGTCACCTCAAGGCTGGACTATGGGAACTCTCTCCTCGTCGGCCTTCCCGGCACCTCCCTCCACAAGCTGCAGGTCACTCAGAACTCTGCAGCTCGTGTACTGTCCCGCACCAGGCTTCGGGACCACATCACTCCTACCCTCGCTCGCCTCCACTGGCTCCCCATCCCCCAGAGGATTGATTTCAAGATCCTCACCCTCACCTACAAGGCCATTCACGGCCTTGCTCCCTCCTACTGACCTACTATCCCCCTACCTACCTGCCCATACCCTCCGTTCCTCTGGCTCCGGTCTGCTCCACATCCCCCGCCCCAACCGCCCTACCATCGGTGGACGGGCCTTCAGCCTTTCAGCCCCTAGGCTCTGGAACTCTATCTCCCAGTGCCTTCGCCGCCTCCTCCCTTTCCTCCTTCAAGGCCGGTCTCAAGACCTTTCTCTTTGACCGAGCCTTCAGCTCCCCTCTCGACCCCCTCCTCGCTCCCTCTCTTCCCTCCCCTCACCCTGACCATTTCCCCCTGCTCGGGTCCTGACCCAACTGTACAGCGCCTTGGGACGTCCTCCCGACGTGAAAGGCGCTCAATAAATGGAATCTTGTTGTTGTATTACACCTCAGGTACATGAACACTTGGTCCACAGAGCTCTGCCAGAATACCACTGTCATCAAAGAAAAGATTCATCTCAGCCAGGGCAGCAGTGAGGGGCTGGAGAGAAGAACAATCTGCGATGCGTATATTGGACACAGAAACAGAGGGTGAGGTGGGTAGAATGAAGTTAATGATATTATTGGATATGTTGGATATTCCTTTAAGAGTTAATTGACAATTAACAAAAGGACACTGGGAATGAGACAAAGTGTGTGGTTTAGAGTGGTGGATTTTTGAGTGTTTGGATTGACAAATAAAGAAGTTACTAACACACCCTTGATTTTGATTGAGTGATATTACATATATGGCAATACATGTCTGGTGCTGGTAACTTGTAGGTTTGTGACATGTTCTGGTTGTTGTTGTCATTGTTGTAATAGCCAGGTTTCTTCAACAGCTAACAATCTGAAAAAAATATATACCATATATAGTATATTATGCTGAGGTGAAATAACCTGGTTCTCTCAATGTTTGCAGTTTATAGAAAAGTGTTGAGCAACATGAACCCTAACCCTCTCCAGGGGTCTATGTGATATTGCAGCTACAATGTGCGCGTGTGGTCAAGTGGAGGTTGGGAAAAGTGTGAGATAGTTATAGACAAAAATCTTAATTTCTTTTTGATAATGTTTTCACCATTTCAGTTTCCTTCTTTTCATACTTCTTTGACTTCTCTTCCAAACACTGCTATTTAACTTTTGTTTTGGGTTTGTTTCAGTTGGTAGGATTCTCAACTTTGGGTCCAGAAGATTGTGGACTGAGTTTGAGCCTTGAATTCATTCTTCTAGTCTTACTGTCCTGGCAGTGCTACCTCGTCTCTACCTGTCTGTTCAAGTTGATATTAAAGATGCCCATGACAGTCTTCTACCCAGTGTCCTGACCCTCAGTCCTCTTTAATAATTGACCACTCACCTTATGCCTGGTTGTGTGCTTTTATGTATAAGAATGTCACTATATATATCAGTAATTATGTTAAACCAACAACAAGATTGCATTTGTATAGCGCCTTTCACGTCGGGAGGACGTCCCAAGGCGCTAGACAGTGTACAGCATTTCATCATTTAAAACATGACAAAATGCATCACATGCCAGCTCTTTTTATCTTCATGACTAGGTTTTTACTTTCATTCCATAATTTCTCTAGTGATATACTCTAGATTTGAAAATCCTGTAAACTTGGGTTTGCTTCCGTTCCACTTTATTTAATATTTTTTAATTTAATTATTTATTTGAAGTTGGCCTCTTTGTCCTTCTGTCTGCCCATTTGTCCTTTACTTTCTCTGGTGGCTGATTAGGACTTGCCTCCCTCACTTGCCTTGGGGCAGTTCCTCTTTTTGGCTCAGCCCCCACCCCTTGAAATGTTCACAGTACTGGGATCAGGGACATAGTGCAGTGTGCACCAGACCTGCAATGCACAGCACCACTGGTCCAGTGAGACTGTACTCATATATTTATGTACATCATACCACACAAGGGAGAGCTGCAAACAGGAATAGAACTGGATATTTTAGGAAAGTGAATAAAAATAACAGGAAAAGGAATTTAACATAGGATTTTGCGCAGGTACTAAGTACTCAACTGTCCCTACTACAAGCATTACTTGGAAAATTTTCTCCCTCCAATTTCTTCCCTCTTAAATTCTACAGGTACCCTCCATACCTCACCCAAACATTCTCCATTTAAATGTGAGTAAACCTGTCTACTTACCTCTTCAAATCCCACAATGAACTCACATCATTCCACATCCCAACAACTTTATTTTCCTAAAATCTCCTTTCACTGACCCCCCACCCAGTGGAAATAGCTTTTCCCATTTAGCCTGTCCAAATCCTTCATTTTGTATACCTCTCTCAAGCTTCTCAGATGCTAGGGAAAGACTTTTTCCAATCCCTTGGTCACTAAATTATTCTTTTAGATCTCTACACACCCTCACACAAGGACCTGTCTTTCGGGAAAATGATACCAAAAGTTGAACACAGTACTCCAATAGTGGCCTAACCAATGATTTTATATCCCACATTTTTCAAATCAAATGTAATGTTATATTGTTGTGTAGAATTTTCCTCCTTGGGAACCTTATTATATTGATTTACATCTCATTCAAAGCACTTCACAGGATTTACTGTAAACTCAAGTGGGGAATGCAAATTTGAAGATGAACATCGTTGGAACAACAACAACTTGGATTTATATAGCGCCCTCCGTGGCAGACGGCGTCTCAGAGCAGATCATTCCAATAAAACCATGTTTACAGTATTTGGTAACTTTCTACAGTTGATCTCAAACTGCCCTCACATCCCAAATATCTGAAGCAAATACAAACAGCATATTTCAATTTGTCAAATTAAATTGACACGTGTAGTCGAGTTAGGTCACTAACAAACATTTACAACTAGGTGCAAAGCAAGTGCAATGAAAGATTTTATTATTTAATAATCCAAAATGTACTTAAGGCACATTGGTGTTACCAGGACACACTTGTTACTGTGAAGTTGACAAAGTTGTTAATGATCCGTTCCCCATTTTATTTACAATTGTGTACATTGAGGAGGATTATATTGGTCGATGTTTTCATTAGATGAGTTCTGCAGCAGAATAGCTTAGTTATGAGCAAGGGCAGGATTTGTGGAAAGGAAACAAAATATGGGAAAAGACAATTCCAATATTTGGGTAGTATGTGGTTCTCCCCTAAGNAAAAAGACAAAAACAGTACTTCATCCATCCCTTGACAGGTAAAGGTACAGTAGAGTGAACTGCTGTATCAGTTAATCTATTCAGTATATACATTTGTAAACCAGGCCCGTAACAATATGTCTAATGAGCTTTACAAAAACTATTAGTGAGAACAGCACAAGTCAAGAGTTAAGTTAGATCATACAGAGAACCTACCCAAAACACATTAGACTGTTACATTATTGCAATAATTAAACTTGATGTTCTTTCATAAACTCAATCATCAACTCTGCCAGTTTCTGAGTTTCTTCCACAGTCACAGCATTGTAGAGGGAGGCACGAATTCCACCAACTGACCTGCGGAGAGCAACATACAAGTTAGTGGATGTTCTGTATTACAGGACAAGTTAGTCTTCATCCAAAAGTCACTCTGCCGAGTTGCTCATTTAAGCAACTACACATTAAAATATGCATCTCGTACATCTAAATCATGACTCATTTGATGTCCTGAAGCTTTGATCCACAACACTCCAAAAGCTCATCTAGGCTGACAAATCAGTGCAGAACAAAAGCACTATTTAGAGGTATAATCAATCAGATACATTAATCCAAGATCTTCCCTTGCTTACCTGTTCTAGTTTACCATTTCAAAGAACAGGAACTTCTCATAGTATCCTGGTAAATATATAACATTATATATCTATATATATATAAAATTTATAACATTGCTATTCATTTCATTGTGCATTGCATGACATGGGTGGCTAGACTCACCATGCTTCAAGTTTAGTGCGAAGTTTGAGACAGACATCTACTGCTAAACGTTTTCCTAAAATTACTCAATGTTCACTTTGATGTGAACCAAAAGTTAGTTAATATATAAAAGAGTGCCACATATGGGTTTGGAGGTTTACCTATGGCCTTTTAGTGAAATCATGTTACATTTAGCAGCTTCATTAAGGAACTCCTTTTCCAGTGCATCATCTCCATTTGCATTTCCAATACGGAATGGAATGTTCATTCTGCTTCTGCAGTTTGAAGCAAGTGGACATCTAAAAAAACAAAAGCCTTTAGTGAACTGATCTTTAAATTAGATCAAGAATCTCAATTGCATAATGAAATATGAACCAAACTTACACATAGAATCCATTGGATCCATCTATTATATTGTAAATCAGCTTTGATTTAGCAATACTGTTCTGTTCCATTGCTTGAATACCCCCAGTGTCTTTAATCCATTCCAGAACCAGGCCCATAATATAAATACTGAAAGAAAACCACACATATTTTATATGAAGGAATCAATGATGTGTATGCATTGTGTAAAATCAAGCATTTTTTGAAGTCATTCTAAAATCACAAAGTCAATAGTTTATATATAGGTTAATTGCAAATATTCAATACGAACACTCAGGAGGGCTCTTCCAACAAAGCAGATCAATACATTTTCCTTCAAATATTTATGCCACAGCTATTGAACGACTCAGAGCTTGAAAAGGCACACAGCTTAATTATATTTGGCACAGGAGAAAAAGTAGTGTTTTGAAAGTCCAAATCATAATTCATATCAGTAGTTAACAGAAACCATCTGCAATGATGCATAATTAATCCAGAGACAGAAGCACTCACACAGGAAAACATTAGGTAAGCAGGATATGTCCCATCGGGATTACTTCTTAGTGACTGGAGTAGTTTTCATTCTTCCCAGAGACAACAGCATATTGCACAGGTAGATCAAAAGTCAGGTGTTCACCATACAACATGAATACAACATTAGAGAAAGTTTTACAAAATCCACAGCTGCTAGGGTCACTGAAGAGGATCTTTTGTTGTTACAAGAGCAGAAAACAAAGACAAGATACTAGAAGCACCAGTGCAACCACAATGAAAGGGAACAACTTGTACCTGTAGCATGGTGGAGTGTTGTAGAGTGAATTGCTGCTCACTTCCACTTTGTAATCAAAAACAATTGGGCACTCCTTAAGGGCAAATCCCAAGAGATCTTCTCGGATTATTACCACCGTCACTCCTGCACAGCCAGCATTCTTCTGAGCACCAGCAAAGATCATTCCAAACTGCAGAAAGGAATTCATCTAATCAGTTATATCAGCTTGTCAATTTGCCAATGACAAACAAGGCATTTTCTAAACAGATTTTATACAAACAATAATGCAGAAAATTGTTGCTGTATAATGCAGTGATAGTTGTAACCATTTAATGTGGCAATCCTTAATCTTTCATGCCATATTTTATATTGTATTATTACCACAACCAGAAACATTGCAACATTAATGAAGCAGTGTTTAATACTTCCAGAGGAACAAAATAGTCATAGCCTGGCTCAGGAACCAGACCATCAAAACCATCACAAAGGGCTGGCTCGATTCTGACTTTCTGTTGCCAAACACGTCACCTTAGAGCAAGTTCAGCTCCAGGAAGACACTGTTGCATAGGAGTCACCTTGGAGACCTGCTAGAGAAAGTCATGAGATAGTCATCATACAGTTTATGAATGGGACAATAGTTTTCACATTACTTCTGCCATTACCAAGGATTCAGTCCTTTACTTGGGGACTCTATAACATTAGCAGCTTCTAGGTACTCAGTCATTTATATATGCAGAAGCTGTGGTCCCATTGAACATAAATATGCAGATATTGCCAGAAGAGCCTATCAAAATATCCACCATCGTACCAACTGCTAAAAACAACAACTTGCATTTATATAGTGCATTCCACACAGGGTAGCGTCCAACAATGACCAAGCTATTCCAGATTTACTGCTGCTGTTTCTAATGTCAACTGTACCCCAGAATGAGACTTCACTGCATCCATTAAGCATGCATAACAGTTTCTAATCGAGGCAACAATACTTAGTCCTGACTTTCACCTAGGTCAATACTCAAAGTACTTTTCAGAGTCAGTGAGCAACATTGAGCAAATTGGGAACCAGGTTAAAAAAGGGGGGGAGGGAGAAGAATGAGAAAAGAAGAGAAGGGAGATGGCAAAAGGCACTGGATAGTTTTTTTTTTAAAAAGTGGATAGTTCCAGAGAACAAGAAAAGTGGCTAAAATCTCAGCCACCAATGAAACACAGGAGAACCATGGAGCAACAATTTGGAATAAGCATTTGGCTGCTTCCATCTAAACTACATTACTCTTACTGGGGAAGTACCTTGGATACATCCACTGGCTTTGAAAGAAAATTTGACGACATGTCACAGACCAGTACGGTTCCTTTTGTGTCTGGGATAAAGGGGAACTCCACACCATGTACAGTCTCATTGGCACAATAGTACACATAAGAGGCACGGGGATTCAAGTTCCAGTTATTTGGATCAGGGATTTCTAGAAGACAAAGAAGGCATTACATATACTATATAAAATTCAAGATTAAGAAAATAATTTATATTAGCTATGAACATTCTACTAAAGTTGAATATATACAATCAATTCACAAAATGCAGTCAATTCTGTAAATTCCACAGAATATGCAGTCAATTCACTTTACAGCATATTCTAGGAAGCCCTTTCAGACATCTCAACAATGCGATATGGTGCTATATCACCCACAAGGATTATTATGAAAGTTTCAATCAGCATTAGTCAAATTCTGGATTCCATCATAGTCACATTCCTCCTCTAGTCACTGTATCAACGATACAATTATTAATGGTCATTTTATTTCCTTTGATAGGAGGAATATTGTGCTAAATAAACTTATGATTTTGTTTATCTAGAATACTGGATCACAGAAGTTCATTCAGCCCCCAGTGTGGGCTACACCAGTTCCCCACTTTAGCAACCTGCTCTGCTATTTCCTCTTACTCTTTCATATCACCATTCTCTAAATGGAGCAATTACAAAGTGTTTGTAGCCATTTATACATCGACTCAATTCTACCTGCATTCATTTTTACCACCACTTACTGACTTACTTGTGTATGCATCAAGTTTGGGGTGGATGAGATTCACTGTCCCATACTTTGCTGCTTCTTTTGCTGCATTGGCAGACCAGGCTCCAGTAACCATATAATCTGCACACCTCTCTTCCTTCAATCCAATAAGGTTTAAAGGGACAGCACTGAACTGACCAGTGCCACCGCCCTGGAGGAAGATTACTTTGTAGTTGTCTGGGATATTTCTGCATTAACAGACAGAAAATGTACAAGATTCAATACAGACAACTATTATAGCTTTATGCAAAACTATTTGAAAGGATCATTGGGATACAGTGAGTTGTAGAACTGTTGTATACATTTTGGCAATTTGCTGCCTAACAGAAGGTCAGACAGCACCAGATGGACTAGGCACAAGTTCAATTGTTCTCCAAAGCCTTTGGGAACTTTTGAGCATTATATTAAAGGAAATTACATGATTTAATGTTAAACATTTCATTTTGGTTTGGCTCAATTCAAAGTGGCGTAGAGCAAGCAGATTAAATCCAGCTACATCAATGCTGCCAGGATTGAAGCAGCATTCCCAAAGGCAATATGACTGCAAAGTTAAATACATTCTACAGTAGCTAATTCTTAGCAATTATTGAATATTCTGCTGTAAAGCACCATTCATTATTCAATTCAAGTTGTTGTTGGTTAATTTAAGCACATTTGCTTCTTACAGCAATTCCCGGAGATTACTTTCTGCCGAGTTGATAATTTTGATGAAGTCTGAAGATCTATGGCTCATTTCTGTTTGGGGGTAAAAAAAAAGGCCATTAAAATACAAAAACAAGCAACAAAGTCTCACAGCATGTAAAGGATCATCTGCCCAGGAACTCACCCATTACACTGATTCCAAGTCCTTTGTAGTCCAGAAGCTCCTTCTGTGCTTGCAGCAAAACCTGGAGAGGAAACAGCATTTATCACAGTCAATCGCTTACCACAGATCTCACTTCATAACTGAATGCACCCAAAGAAAAGCAAGAGTTCATCCAAATTTCAAGGGAACACAAAAAGTCCCAAGTAGATATAATTAGGGCTGACAGGTCCTTAGGGGACTGTTCATACTAATTTCTCAACATTTCACTGCATTCCTTTTCTTAAAAAAAGAAAAAGGTACACCCATTGGCAATGGTCTGGGTATATCAGGACATTATATGAGCCTCCATATCTGATGGCTATTTGTACTGCTTTAAATATTCCAGAATCACTATGCAGTTGAAATATTCTCCTATAAGCAATACAAGTGAATTGAAAGAGGTACTAGAGGCCAGAATACACTTAGGTACAAATCAGTAGCATTATCTGAAGAACGAAAAGCAGCCTCAACATCCACAGTGATGATCAATGATCACAGGATATGAAAGAGAAGCTCACAAATATTTTTTGTGCATGTTTTATGTTCTAATACTTAGTTAGAAGAACAAGACTACCTCCATCTTATTACCATAAAGCTTACTGCAATACTACTGGTTGCCTGGAAACATACACAACAGCCAATTCTTGCTTCTACAGAGCTAGCTATTTCAATCTTTTTCAGGTCCTTTCAGGAGCTGAAAGGAAGTGAATTCTTCCACTCAGACAAGTCTATCCCCACAAGCTCTTATCCACTCTTCACACAGGACACGTTTTAGAAATCCATTATCCAATGATTTTAGAAATTAAAAGTAATGGTGTCACTACTCTGCAGACTCATTATGAAATAAAGGGGCATATCCTTCACTCAAGCAAATACAGTATTATCAGAAACTATTCAATAGAACTGCATAAGCTTCAAACAAGTTCAATACAGTACAAGTCATAAGCTTATTCAATCCAGCATCTCTTCTTTCCCCACTCTCCCATCAATCACAACTGCATTTTATACTACCCTGGGCTGCAGAACCATTGCATGTTCAGTCATCACATCAGGATGGAGAAATTACAAAAAAAATACTCCTTGGTTCTACATCAATCCCATAGAATACCTAACAAGATGTATTTAATAGTGTTAAATCTCCTTCCACAGCCCATCTTAAGCTACTGTACAACCTCAAAAACCAAACTCAGAATGCTCACAACACCAGTGTACTTATTTTGCACATCAGTCATTTTTGTGACTAGAGTAAGTATGTCAATTGTGGCCAGTTTTGCATTTACTTTCTAGAGTTTGGGTTGAAATTGTCCTTGCTAGATATGACTATCAAAAGTGAAAAGCATATGCAAAAGTCAACTGGTTTGCTAAAACATGAGGTTCTGAGACAGGGGGAAGAGGATGGTATTGCTAATGCCAATTTATAAGGAGAAATGTTGGAATACTCACATCTGTAATGGTTTAAAAGTCAAACCTTTGATGAGATTAAACTTTTGAAATTGTTAATTTAATATCTATGCAGCAACAACAAGTTTTTTTATATGTTAATGCAACATATTTGATATCCATCTTAAATATTTAACAGCTGGTATCAATTAATTTAAGGTGTCAATTGCAAAATTGCAATAGTAATTCTACTCTAGAGCCAAAGCTAAAGGACGTAGTTTGATGGATGCAATTTATTGCTACCATTTGATAGCTCATCTATTTAATTGACAGTCTGCACTATTTATATTCTAGTAGTATATTGCTGGTATTTACAGCTCAAGACATTTAAACTTGCAGTATTATTCAGATAAATATTCACTACCAGTGATCAGTAACTTCTCAGAGCAGCTTTAAACCTACATCAAGCGAATTTATTACAAAAAAAACAGGAATTGCATGGCATCATGTATCGACGAAAATGTTATCTAGGTTGTATACTAAAATCCAGAAAAGTTATACGAGGCTCAGGTACTTATGACTTGCTAATCACTTGGTTAAGCAGATACACAATTGTCCAGTTTAAATCTTGCAGAAGTGGTACATAGTTTATAGCTTGAAATGAATGGGAACACTCCGCTCCATGGATTTACAAATTAAGCAGAGCTGCATCTTAAACAGTCGCAGCTGTGCATTCCTAACCTCAACCCCCTGGCGGCATAAGAGAAAAAGCAGAAGCAGAGTCAACGGTCAAAATCAATCACCAAACCCAACAAGTAGAAATCAGCAGATGAAGGCAGGAACTCACTCTAAAAGGAACACATATTTCATTGTTGATCAGTCAATCCACTGCTTCCCCCTTCACAATTTCTGGGCAAAATGATCTTGGGGCAAGTTTAAAGGAGAAATGGATCAATTCTACCTGCTAAACAGTTTAAGCTGCAATGCAATGTACAAAATGATGGGGGGTGGGGGGCAAAAATCACATTACACCATCAGAGCCAGATTTCTCCTCCTCAGTTTAAACAATGAGTGCAGCAACTGCTGTGATCTTAAGCACGGTTCATTCAAGCACCGCAAACAAACCACTGAAGATTTTCATGATGGGAAATAAAGAATGTTTGTGCTATTCTAATCAAAAGGAATAAAAAAGGCAAAAATAAAACTAAAGATGTTGCAAACTGACTGGGAAGAGTTTAGAAGTCAAAAGCAGCAGCATTTGTTTTTACGAGAACTGAAAATGCATCAAGTGGACGTTGAATACAAATCTAATGGAGAAAGGTCGGACTTCAGACACAACAACAAGGAAAAATACAACCAGCACAGATAGCTTGCCTGAAACACAAAAACTATCAATCAACTCCTTGATTCCCATCTATGCAGTTAGCTGATCTTATTTGGAGCAGCTGTCTGGGGCCTACAGTTTAGGTTTACATTGATAATTAGGTGGGTTCTCTCTCCATCTCATCTTACAAAAATAGTCAATAACGCAAGCAGGAGGTTTTCTCCCAAGACAAACTGTATTAACACGAAGCAGACAGCTTTACTCTATTGAACCTAGAAGTGCTTCACGTCGATACTGGATGATAAATACAGAAATTTCCCCAGTATAAACATCCCATAAAAGATATTTAGCCCCTTGGATGCATACTGCAAGTAAGCCTAGAGGTTAAACACATGACCACATCACAAGCATCTCATCAGAAGAATAAAAAATTATATAGACAGAAGGAAAACGTTCAACCCATCTGTGTTGGTACTAGTGCCACCACTGGTAGAATATACACTAACTCCCTATCCTCAACATTTTTCTTCATGTATTTTTCCCGCTTTCCTTTAAATAAAGTCAAACACAACTCCAGCAGTCACTTGAACCTTGCATGAATAATTCTTGACCAGACAAAAAAAAGATTAGTTTCATTGCTTATCAAACTCAACAGCAACACTTAATGTGCATCCACCTCCTCTTTGAATGCAAATATTTCTGAAGTAAAGTACAAGGTTCCACCCCACTTTTATCTGTAGAGCCAACAGTGATATTCAACTTAATCTGTTCCTTAACATAAACTTGTTTAAATGTTACTGAAATAGTCGACAAAAGTCATCTGAGTCACCATCTTAGACTCCCACTTAGCATTGACACTATATTTTTTTGACACTATATTTTGCCAAAGCATTAACCATTAGATCCCTTTTCTTCCCCTCTCCTTCAGCCCCTTTAAAACAGTGACTTTTTTTTAAAAAAAACACTCCAAGAAGCACCTTCACTGATAGAGTGAAAAGTGGCCAACCTATTCACTAACATTATAGGACAGGTTCCACCAGTTAGGTTTTAAAAACCCTGCTCTGGGTGCCTGGGAAATCCTCCTTGAGTGAATGTTACCGAGCTTCTTTGCATGCAACCACACAAAGAAATATGCAACCGCGCAAAGAAATATGCAACCGCGCAAAGAAATATGCAACCACACAAAGAAATATGCAACCGCGCAAAGAAATATGCAACCGCGCAAAGAAATATGCAACCAAGAAACACTTCCTTACAATCAAAGATGTTATATTAACATTTAAACCGCCTTCTGGTCCTGAAGCCACCATTACACCATTTGTATAATAAATCCCTGCATCAAGAACATCTCAAAACATGAAAAAAAAACATTACTGCCAGAAACAATGACTATATTGAGGCAAATAAGCAATTGACATACACTGACCCAACAAAAAAAAACAAGTGGAATGTACAATTCTCCAGATGCAAGAGATCAACAATATTCACATTACAGTTTCTAATTGGGGATCTGGCAAAATACTCACTGCTTTTCAGATGTAGATTAACCCACTGGGTTTTGCTGGCATTTTCCCACAAGAAAATGCTATTAATAATTATAATGCTTGAAAAGCAGATAAGTAACTCAATGGGATTAACATCACACACATCTTACAATGAATCTGAAGGATGAGCATCGGAGGGGGAGGACAAGTAAAACAACATCCATTCCAGGGGGGGAGGGGGTGGGGGGGGAGGGGGGGGGGGGGGGGGGGGGAGGGGGGGGGGGGGGGGGGGAGTTGTCATCAGTCCCCACTTTTTTTAAGCATTGCAGACACTTTTCCACTGGATGATCCGCCACCCGCGCCGGACACCGACCGAGCAGAGGGCGGGGAGCACACACATCACATCACATCTCACCGAGTGCGGGAGCTTAGAAGGACCGGGAGCAAAGTTGATGACTTTCTTGGTGCTGCTGTTATGGTCCATCGTTTAGTTTTTCCGTCACACGGCGACCAGAGCAGAGCAGAGCAGCGCAGACCAGTGCAGAGCAAAGCAGTGCAGAGCAGCGCAGACCAGTGCAGAGCAAAGCAGTGCAGTGCAGAGCGGCGCAGACCAGTGCAGTGCAGAGCGGTGCAGTGCAGAGCAGCGCCTGGTGCTCGCTCAGAGGATCACTCCGGCAGCTCCTGTGTAACTCTCAGCTGTGGTGAGCCTCGCTCTGTGCTCGTCCCCTCCGGGGAGCAGCTGACTGCAGGGAAACAAAAGGGACCCTCTGCTCTGCTCTGCCCCCACACACGCACACACACGCAGACTGCGTTGAGCCCGTGCGGATTGGTGGGTCCCCGTGTTCAGGAGCACACCATTGGCTCGACACGGCCCCGGTTCACGAGGCGGCTGCGTGCTCTCCGGGTCTAACTCGCTCACGCAAGGGCGCTGCGGATTGCACCAGCAGCCTCCTGCCTGGACCGGCTCGGCTCGGCTCTGCTCTGCTGTGCTGGCAGCACAGGGGGATAATTAATGCCACTTAATCCCCATTGAAGAATCTCACTCTGTTCATTGTTCGTCAAGCAACAAAAAAACACAAAAAAACTGCAGAGGATTAGTTGGCGTAGATCCTGGAGCTCAGCGGTTAGAGCGCTCGCTTTGCAAGCGAGAGACCTGAGTCCGGTTCCAGGCAGGTCAGGGCGAAACCTTGGGCCAAGTTTCCTTACTCCACACAGAGCCCTAATGATAATACCCTCCAAGAAAACAAAACAATAATTAAATTGGTCATTTTCAATCCACGACTGTTTGTGGGACATTGCTGTGCGCAATTGGCTGCCGCGTTCGCCCACAAATATACAGTCAATTCACTTTACAGTGTGTTCTGTGAAGCGCTTTGGGACGTCCTCCCGACGTGAAAAGCGCTAATGCAAGGATTATTGTTTAAGGATTATTAAATCTTCTTTTGCTTATTATGTTTTTGGATTAATTTTTAACACAAAGGTCTCTACTTCGTTATCATGGACAACAATCCTCCAAATAATATTAGTCATTCACTCCAGCTGCTTGTGGGCTATTGCTGTGCATAACTTGGCTGCTGTATTGACCTGCAAATACAGTCACTACACTTAAAAATAATTCCCGTGCAGCACTTTGAAATGTCTCTACGACTTGATTTATTAAATCCAACGCCAAGTTTGAAGAAGTGCTAGACTTCTTCAACTCAAAAATTGAAAACATCTGTTTGGTTGCATCATCCTCCCCCACCCACCCCATGTCCCTTTCCACCCCACCCAGATTGTTCACACCACCTTCTCCCTACGCTAAGGACCCTGCCACTCTCCCCTCCTTACACTCCTCCTTTGCCCCATTTCTCCCTCCTCCCTCTCAACCACAATCACTCAGATGAAACAAAAACAGAGAGAGCCGGGAAAACTCAGCAGGTCAGGCAGCATCTATGGAGAAAGGAAAGTGAGTCAACATTTTAGGTCTATGACCCTTCATCGCTGGGTTCTGACAAAGGGTCTTGGACCTGAAACATTGACTCACTTTCCTTTCTCCATAGATGCTGCCTGACTTGCTGAGTTTTCCCAGGTCTCTCTGTTTTTGTTTCAGATGTCCAGCATCTGCAATATTTTGTGTTTTGTTCACTCAGATGAAGTTCACCACTTGCTGCCTTGACCCCCTCCCCACCCAACTGCTGGTCACTCACCCCCCCCCTCCTCTCCCCCCTGCTGGCCGACACGGTCAACCAGTCTCTCTCCTGAGGCTCTGTTCCATTCCCCCTGAAAACTGCTGTCATCACACCCCTCCTCAAAAAAAATGCCCTTGATTCCTTTAATCTCTCTCACTACCGTCCTATCTCCAACCTACCCTTCCTTGCCAAAGTCCTGGAATGCATTGTTGCAGGTCAACTTTGGTCTCAACTCTCCCTCCATCCCTCCTCGAGCTCCTGCAGTCTGGCTTCTTTCACGCTGCTCACAGCACAGAGACAGCACTTGTCAAAGTCACAAACAACATTCCCTCTATCGGTGACCAGGGCTCCCTCTGCCTCCTCATCCTCCTGGATCTCTCTGCCGCGTTCGACACAATCAACCACGCCATCCTCCTCCATTGCCTTTCCTCCCTCATCTACCTTAGTGGGACCACATTTGTATGGTTCGAGTCCTACTTAACCAACCATCGCCATTTCATCTCGGCAAATGGTTTCTCCTCCCACCCCCACCTGGTCACCTGTGGGGTACCCCTGGGCTCCATCCTTGGCCGTCCTCTTTTCCTTATCTATATGCTCCCTCTGGGTGATGTCATCTGCAGACACGGGGTAAACTTCCACATGTCTGCGGATGACACACAAATCTACTTTGCTTTCTCCAGTACCAACTCCAGGTCCATCGATGTTCTATCAGCTTGTCTGGGAGATATCAGGGCCTGGATGGGTGTAAACTTCATGCAGCTGAATGTGGACAAGATGGAAGCCGCATTCTTTAACTCCCATCAACATCTTTACTCCTACGGAACTGAACTCCTCAACCATCCTGGGCTCTCCCTCAGACTCACCGAACCAGTGCACAATCTAGGTGCCCGGTTCGACCCCAATTGTCCTTCCTCCCCCACATCTGGTCCCTGACCAGGACCACCTATTTCCACCTCCGCCATATTGCCCATCTCCGACCGTACCTTACCCCGAATGCAGCCGAAACCCTCGTGGATACGTTTGTCACCTCCCGCCTGGATTACTCAAATGCACTCCTTGCCGGTTTCCCCAGCTCCACTATTCAAATGATCCAGCTCATTCAGAACTCTGCCATCCGCATATTAACCTGGATCAAGCTCCGTACCCATATCTCACGAGTTCTAGCCAGACTCCACTGGCTCCCCATCACCAAATGGATCGACTTCAAGATCCTCACACTTGTGTTCAAATCCCTTCACTCCCTACCTCTCCGACCTCCTCTTACCACAATCCACCACCTGGTGCCACTCCTCGACTGGCACCGGCCTCCTGCTTGTCCCTCGCACCCTCCGCCCCACCATTGGAGGTTGCGCTTTCAGCCACTATGCCCCAAAATTCTGTAACACCCTCCCTCAATCCCATGCCTTGCCCCCTCTCTCACCTTTTCCAAGTCCCACCTGAAAACCTTCCTCTTCGACCATGTTTACGGCCAACTTGAACCCCCCTCCCCAGCTCGTAGTCAGGCTCTGAGACGCTACCCTGCTATATAAGTGCAAGTTGTTGTTGTTATTATTTAGGCTGCCACTTATCACCAAGTCCAAAACTGGGAAGGAAGCAAGATAGGTGTGGTAAGTGAGCAAATCAGTGCCTGATATTTGTTAGAATCGAGTTAGCACCTCAGCACATCAAACCATCTCAAAACACTTAAAAGAGTTTTCTGTAAAGTGTAAGGGATTGGATGTGCAGTTAGTTGCAGACTGGTTCCTTGTGACTATTCTCCTGGAGGTGGGGGAGGTAAGCAGCCTCCACTGTATTCCGGAGCATTGCTGATGACAGCACAGCCAGTGTGACTCATCGGCAGGACCTAGAAGGGCAAGGATTATTATTATACTTTCAGTCCCAATATTGAAGCTCTATTAGATTTGGTGATGAGACTTTAGCGTTTTCATGCTTCATGGACATGATATAAAACTAACACTTTATTGGAACCTTTTCAATTGGGATACAAGCATTCTTTAGCACCATCACAGATTAATATTTCTTAATAAACAGATGTTATAGACAAGCTGAAAGCAGTCGCCAAAACCTGAGTTATACCAGTGTTTTCTCTCAATAGTCCACTAAGATTGTAATAACAACTTTTATTTTATCTCATTTTCATTATTTTTTCTTCTTTGTTAAACTCTTTTTTCTTATCATAGATTAACCAGCATATAAGAATATACTGAGGGAGGCCACTGTTGATGGCCTCCATTGTATAATGATCTAATGTACTTTCTTGGTCTCTTGTGGAGTCCTGTAGCTCAGTGGTTAGAGCACTCGCTTTGCAAGCGAGAGACCTGAGTTCAATTCCAGGCAGGGCGAAACCTTGGTCAAGTTTCCTTACTCCACACGCCTAATAATAATCCCTCCAAAAAAACAAACCAATAATAAATTGGTCATTTTCAATCTACGACTTTGTGGGACATTGTCTGTGCGCAATTGGCTGCCACGTTCCCCCACAATATACAGTCAATTCACTTTACAGTGTGTTCTGTGAAGCGCTTTGGAACGTCCTTCCGACGTGAAAAGCGCTATATCAAATGCAAGGATTATTATTATTATTATTGGTCATTTCAGCCAGCTATCGGTTTGAGATTCCAGCCTACACAAATACAATACACTCTGATTCACTGAAAATTATGGGCGATTGGAATTAATTCATTACGCCAATTCAAAGGCCAGAAAGGAGCTTCTCCAAAATACTCAACAGATGATTCATTGAATGATGATAATGAGCCATACACAACAGTAAGAATCGATGTTTACTGATCGATGTTGAGTTTATCTCTGCTGGCAGTGAGAACAGTACAATTGGCAGTTGGAAACAAAATAAAATCTGTCTTGATTCCTGTTTCAGATTGATGTTCAGTGATGTTCAGTGATTCTGGCTGGAATGTTCATAGGTATGCACTTAAGATAAAGACTGAACACGTTCAGCTGCTTGCCTCCCTCATAGTCAAGTTGCCTGCCAAAACTTCCCGTGAAGGCTCATGGAAGCCTAACGACACAATTAGTTTTGAAATGGGAATAAACAATTAGTGATAATCTTTTTCACGGAAAGTTTGTGTCTCCATAATGTTTAAAGATGAAATGGCAAAATTCAAGCTCTAAATTCTTAAATTACATCTGAGATAGAAATCGATATAAAGTGTATAAAAATAGATATAAAGCCCATGATTGACTTCGGATTTCCTCCCAACCTGAAAGGCGCTATACATATGTAATTTGTTGTTGTAGTTACTGACACAACATTGTCTGCATTACTGTTTAGAACATTGTCCGCAATGGTGTTTAGAACATTGTCTTCATTACTATTTCTATTCTAAATATTACTCTCAATTCATCCTATGTTTTAATTCATTAATCAAACAACAACTTTAATTTTGTTTGGTTATACATTAGTGTATCTGAAAATCATAATGAAGTTTTCTTCAACACAGATTTAATTTCAAGTATGGTGTGGAGGACATCAGAAGGAATAGCAACCTCTTTGGGTAAAACTAATAATAATTCAAATCAGCAAAGAAACATGTACCCTTTATTCCTTCATAATTATATTAATTCTGTGTA